GCAGCCAGTAGAAATCACAAAATATTAATAAGGTACAGGTATACAGTGACATAAATTTTACCTTTCTGTGCAACAGTCCAGTACATCAACAAACCTCCTGCTTTACAGGCTGTAAGATGAATAATGGAGTGCAATGCAGGTTATGAAGCACTCTTGAAAATTTCAAGTACAGTAATACTTACAATTTCTTTCATAGTATACCATTCTTAAACCATTCAATTTCTATCCAGTGAAGCACTTGAAGGAGCTCCAGGGACAAAATGATCTGATTAACCCTTGGGTACCAAAGGCTTTGCAGTGTCTGCTGTCCCACACGTGTCAAGTTTCCACTGACATTTAAGGGCCCCAACTTGCTATCAAAGAAAGGATTAATCTGTCCTTGGCTTATCTAAATGACCAAATAATACGATTTAAGTGATAACCAGCTGTAGGTTATGTCCTTATTAAATTTGATAGGATACTTTAAAAGCCAAGTAACGCAATGAAGTTTGCAAAGTGATTTAGATTAAACAGGTTTGACTGCTCAATTTGGAAGAAATTCAGTGCACAGGTATGAGCACGAAGGCAATTTTTAAATATTAGGCTTTGAATGCTGCTGACCAGAAAGCTGGGATATGTTATGCGAACTTTATATTGTTTTAACCATTTCCATTACTCACAAACTAAATATGTGCTTATTTTAGTGATTTCCCCTATCCCCAAGTTCCAACCTTGTGAAGAAGCTGTTTCTGTGACTCCTCCCAACAGAGGACAGAGGGAACCCAGTTCTCAGGGTACGGAGTTAGAACACGTCTCAGCTCAGCCAGAAAGCCTGATCAGGCCCACAGAGGGACCACTCTGTAGGGGGACTGCTCCCCACTAGCCAGGAAGACCGTAAGTGAAGATGCCAGGACTTTGAATGCACGACAGGAAAATCAGCCTGCATTTGGTCTCCTCACACATCCCAAATTATCTTCTTTCAGCTGCTGACACTCTTTCTTCCAATGATGCCCCCTTTATTATACAAAGAAATACAGGAAGTCAGGTTTACTGTGCAAATCTGCCCCTTATATGCCTTTGTTTTGCTTATCTTCTCTCTGGAGCCTTTGTCTTTGGGCCAGAACTAAACGCATGTTACAAATGCTGAATGATTCGTGACCATGATACTTCACACCTCTAATGTGCGAAACTTTGCACACATTGTCAACTAATATGTATGCAAATACTCATAAGAAATTCAAACACAACTTTCTTAAATAGAACACGGCTAGAGCAGTGTTTTTTATAATCCAGTAGCATGTGGTGAAATCAACTAGTGGTCATTATCACTATTAAAAAGATGAAACAGAACAGAAAAAAATTGTTTATACTAAGAATACATGTTGTCTTATGCATGAAATAAGTCACAACGAAAATGTATTTCTTCTTTTAGCTTGTGGGTAAAGCAGTTTAAAAAGCACCGGTATTTTAAGCGTGTTTGTAATGTGATAGAATTCTTAGCATTCTTTCACTCCAGAGGTTAGATATTCTTGCTTTTCATTCTCAATCTACAAATGTTAATTGAACAACTGCTATATATGGTTGGATGTCAGGTGTTGGGATAGTTACAGAAAAGCAAAATTACTTTTGTTAATTTTAACCTATGACACAGTTGTAAGGTATTAAGTAAACGCTTAAAAACGAATTAATGCTAAATCAGCTACTACTAGTATTTAAAGTACCTCTCTTGACCATGAAATCTATGCAGGATATGCCACACAAATCCTTCACAGGATGTTAAGTGTCTCGTATTTCTTATTAACACCTGGAAAGAAATCCAGTGTAAAATCTGTAGTTCAGACACAAATTGTTTTTTGTTTTGTTTTGTTTTCTGAGACAGGGTCTTGCTGTATAGTTTAGGCTGCCCCTGAACTCACTATGTAGCCCAGGCTGACCTTGAACTTGTGACAATCCTGACTCAGCCTCCCAAATGCTGGGATTACAGGCGTGTGCCAACATGCCTGGCAAACAGAAATTCTTGAAGGATATATTTCGTTTCATCTACCTGCTCACTGATTTTTTTTCTTTCCCAGGCTTTTTGGTAAGAAAGTGATTTTTCAGCAACCAAGATTTGGGGCCTAGCTCCAAAATTTCTCTTCAGAATTTTTCTCTGGAAAGAAAAAATACATTTTACTTTTCAAATGTTCTGCTCTTGTCAAGCTTTAGTCAAGCCGCCAATATATGAAATTAAGCCAAAGACTCAAATTAGATGTTACACATTTTAGAAAGTAGTAAAACATTTTTAGATGAGATCCTTTTCAAAATGTGCCCCTTCCCTCAAGAAAGAAGCCAACCAGTTGTTCTGGTGCTTAATATAAACCTCAAATAATCAAGAGTGTCAATTCTCTTGGTACTCAAATCTCCAATACTGAGTGGTAGTACCAAATTGTGTGCTGTAATTATACCTGGTTTTTATTTTCTCTTCTCCCAACCCAAATTCTTTCAAATGGCACATAACTATTTTGAGATGACATTCATTTAATTCTGAAATGCATCTGACATTGTTTGAGGAAATAATTTTTGGTATATAGTAAATTCTGTCGTTTATAACAGCAGAGCCTTTACAAACAGCATAAAGAATTATTTTTCTCTGATCCCGATTCTAAATATTGTATAGATGTGTTATGGATTCCAGTGATCATCTGAAACTTCCAAAATCAGATAAATCATACTACCACTGTAAATACTTCTTGAAGTGAAAGCCCAAGTTTTCTTTTCTTTTTTTTCCTTCTAGTTGTGAGTTTTTAAATTTAAATATTATTTAATGGCAGGGATATAGCTCAGCAGCACAGTGCCTGCCTGGCAGGTGTGAGGTCCTGAGTTTGATGCCTGGCAAAAAAAAAAAAAAAAAAAAAAAAAAAGAAAAAGTTATTTAAGCCAGGCATGGTGATGCATGGCTGTAATTCCAGCACATTTGAGCCTGAGGTAGGAGGATCACCACAAGTTCAAGTCCAGCTTAGGCTACATAATGAGTTCAAAGCCAGCCTCAGCTACAAAGCAAGACCCTCTCTCAAACCAAATCAAACACACACACAAAAATGTTATTTAAAACCGTTTTGGCTCATTACTATATTAATGCTCATTATATTAATTAGGCTGTAATAGAAGGTCCACCCACTCTTTCCAGGTGAAGTGTATAGAATACTAAGTGGAAATGGCTTTCACCCCAGATAGCTCACTTGAGATGTTAGTAAGAATTGCCTCCTCAGTATTCTATAGCCATGATGAGGAGGAGGCCAAGGAG